ATACGATATCGTTTCCCAAAATTGGTTGAGCAATTAGAATGATGGCTAATAACGTTGCAACATTGTTGATGAAGAGAACGATAAAACCGTCGATATCACCCCTGACGAAGAGTGGATATTTTGAATTCCATCGAAAAGCATTGAACCATTCTTTTGGATAACATTTCATCGATTGTTTTCCCGAATCGCATATCCGTCTACAATGATGAGTAAAAAATGAACATATGTCTGGTGTTGCTGGACGATCAGCTTCAATAATAGTCATTTCAAGCGACGTAGAAGTGTCGACATCAGCAGTATTTTGATGCATGATTAGGTCAACAAGCTATCATTCGCTTCTTTCGATCTATAAATTACGAGATAAGATGAATCTGAAATTAGAAGAAATGAGAATTTATTCGTTTACTTTGATTGCATATAAATGTTTAAAACTCAGCAATTATATTCATCGCAGATGAATGTTATGTAAAGGAACGTGTAAAACCGTCAATGTCTTAGTCTTACCATAGGATTTGTGTTTCGGAAAGATTATTCAGTCACTTGTATGGAAGACGATTGAAAGTCCATGCTAAACTACTTTTTGAGAAAAGTAAATTCGTCTCTTTGGCCTGCTACTTGAGTTGTGACAGACAGATAACATGTTCAAAGTTTTCCATTAAGTCTCAGACAGTCGCATACATTTTGACATGTTAGTCTATTTGATCATCAAGCATAAAATGATCTGAAAAATTTTTCCATGGTCTATGGGTTTTTTAATATAGTACAGTGCAAAAATAATTGCTGATGGTTTTTAAAATATTTTTTTGTTTGCAAGGAATTTCGAATGATGAAACGGACATTAATGTTGATGTATTTCAAATTTATCGATTAAAAGAAAATATGTTAACGAAATAAATATAAGAATTTTGATAAAAAATCAAAATCATGGAAGCCATTTAGTTGGTTTTTTAAGTCAGTGTATAGATTTAGATTATTTAAAATATGTTCGAAAGCAAAAATGTCGAAAACTGAAGTGAAAACTTCTGAATATCTTCTTGCTCAGAAAATAAAAAAAAAGAAGCAGCTGAATTCAAATTAAGTGTTTACTACTGGAAAAAGAAAGAATGAAAGACACGAAAAAATACTTTGAAATATTTATTTATCAACCTCAAATAATAATCTTATTGTACATTCATAACTGTTTTTACTAAAATACAAGAGAAACAGATGAGAAGATTAAGTGTTATGATCAGATAATTTTGATATCGACTACATAACCTGTTTAGTCCGGCAGCTACCGAGACTTATTTTTTGAGGTTTATTGTGACTATTCAATAAACCTCTTGACACTTTGAGATAGATCTCATGCGATTTATTAGAACATACGTGCATATGTAGAGTGTAGACTCGTTGAAATATGATTATAAGTAATGAATCCTAATAGATTCTTAATAAGTAAAATAAATCTCGGTAGCCCCTTGTTCATTCGACTTTATAATGTTGTTGTTTGTTCGCTTTTATGTTTCTGATGCATCAGAAGATTATTAAAGTATAAAGTTCTTCCTATGTGTACATTCTGCTTTCATGAAATTCACCAAATCCCATATATGTGGATGATTTCGATGTATATGCGGACGTATCCTCTGATCAATCATATGTAAGCACCTCATAAGTTAATTTTGATCGCGCAATAAAAACATCTTAATCCAACATCTTTTAGAATTTCACTTTTTCTCTCTATAAAGCTTTTCTTTTGGCATGAGATAATTTCGACATTTTTTTACTATGAAGTCAACTTCAGTTTACCTTACGTTTGACATTCGCTTTATCTCACAATTGTTTTTGTTGATGTATAATGTGTAAATGTTTCACATAAAGATTAAGTTCACGCCTTTTTAGTGATGATATAATGTCATGCATTAAATGATTATTATTCGACCAAGGATTTGAATGAAGTAAAAAAGTATGTTCTTCCTTTAATAAATACATTACTTCAATTGGAAATTTCATCTTCATATACAGCTAATGGCTCTTCGTTACGAACACGTAAAATGTCAAATGCTGAAATATCTATATTCATTGGGTCAATGCTCATTATGACATCCACTGGTGCAATTATAGATGAAACTGCTTTTTAAAAGCTGATATTTGCACTAGAATAAGCTTGTTAAAACTCATTATAATCATACGATCAGCTGTCTCTGACAAATTATCCTTTAAATCTTCATACAACAAAATCTGTTCGACTATTGAATACACAATGGCAGTGTATATCGTTTTGACATTTATCTACCAATGAGGATTGATAAGGTTTATTGTAGAATATATTCTTGCCTCTGTGATAAGATTTAAAGTCTAATTAACTTATTTCATTGGCGTTGCTACTCTCAAGTAGCAATATCAATCAAATTGCCTAATTCAGTTTTTAAACATACTACAAACAAATCCATATCTACACACAAATGTAACAAGAATAATACAGTTCATGACTTGAAATATCTTATCATATTACGTAAATGAACAGAAAAGTTAAGTTGAGGTTGGATAAAGGGCTTGAATTGTCGCTATTCAATATTATTGTATTGAGGTAGTTGCACAGTTAGTTTTTGAATTCTTTTTTTCTCACATGATACCTCCATTAAGAACTGTCTAAAGCGAAAAGTTGTTAATCATTTAAAATTGTTACTTGGTAAGCGTTAAGAGAAGCGAAAAGAAAAAAAAACAAGAACTGCTGTAAAGCTTTGGTTAAACTTTTTTTTCCTTTTGTCCTATTTGGATCAGAACTCAAAATGTTTTAACAGTCCTTGACAACCTGGTCTCTTCAATTAGAGTGAAATAGATCAGACATAAAATAGTTGGAAAACTCGACGCGATCGAGGTTTTCAAAACGTCGAGTGATTTAGAACAACGATTGTCGACCGACACTGATAGCACATTTTTTCACTTCTAAACAAATTGCTTAATGAGGTTCTGATAATGCAGGATATTAATGTGTTTACTTTCATGTGGTTCTCCTTTCTTTATCTCTATTCCTAAATGAAGAAGCTCTACAGAGAGTAGATGAGTACCAAAATGATGCGTCTATGTCATGATTAACTTGTGCCTTTAGATGGCTCGAACACCTTACGTGAGTCGATGAATAAGATTATCTCTATGAATTGTTTTGTATCTGTAAGAATAACATACGAGACTGCTTATCAATGCCTATCATCCACATCTGCCACCTTGGAATATATACTTTTCCAAAATGTTGCTGGCCCTATATATGTCACATACAAGTCTTGCGCTAACATTAGCAGTCACATCGAGTACTCAGGTACAAAAATAAATGCATTTTATATCTGTTATCACGTTTTGTCGAACTGATAGTCATCAGTCACGCGATACGGGACCAGTAGCTATTATTCTACGGTCCGACAATGATTATGATGTGCAAGGCTTCTTTGAATATACAAACTCGAAGTTGATAGTTGACAACAATCTCTTTTCATTCGTATAACTTCTTGCGAGAAATTCTAATCGATTTTATTTATTGGAAGAAGTATTATCAACATTTAGGTTCTATTCATATGTATAGATTTGTCCAATTATAAAACTTATGATGTTCTCAAGCGTGTTATGTTCAAAGTAATAATTAATTGTTCAGCAATCGATTAGTGGGATATTAGAAAAGCATTTCTCATATTAAGTCGGATGAATATAATGCGTCAATTCTATCGGCTGAAACTGTCGAAAATGATGAAATGCACAACGACGCTTTTAGTTATTCTTTTACAAGGTCAAATCCAACTCATAACATTCGGAAGAGACAGTATTTCACTTGAACTTTACCTCTGAAAGTATTCTACATTTTTTATAAAACAATAGTATATGATCGGTAAGTTTCACGGAGAAATAAAAACAATATATATATAATGGAATGAACATTAATTTGCACTATTTTAGGTATGAGACAACGTGAGCCGGGTCAATTTATTCAAAGATTGATCATGCGATTGTTTATCGACAATAAATGTCATTAGATTTGTCGCACTCGAGAAAATAATACAATGGGTCATAGAAATAAATGAAAAAGCCTAAACTATCTAAGTTTCTCAATTTAATGGTAAGCTGAAATTAGCTGACGATAACAAAACTTAACTATTGCCTTCCTAGGCTCCGAAGAGTTATTTATATAATGCTTGATAAACGTGCTTCCATTTTAGATTCTACGACAAATTTTACTGGGCACCATCGTCTGAGCTATTAAAGATAGCAATTGATATGCATTGGAACAATAACATTCTTTGTCAATAGATAGGAAATATTCGTCTCTTTCGAACTGTATATAACTTAATTCTTTAATAGTTATTTGCGTCTTTGTGACTCTTTTTTTCCTTGAGTTTTATCATCTATCTTTGGAGTATCCGATTTACATTGACTGATACCACAACGATGATGAACAGATTTTGCCAGTTGATTTAATTTTTGATTAGAAATTTATCTTTGTTTTTTAAATACTTTGCTCCGTACAATGATTAACTGTTATTTTACGTGCTTATTGCTGAACCGATATAAAAGTTGTAAATTCATTGTGCGAGTGTTTCTCTTTCTTTTCGTATCATTTTTTTTTCATAAATGTATCACCGAATCAACCCTTTCTTTTCAAGCAGCAGCTATAGGTGCCATTTTTTTGAAGTTCAATTCGCTTGAGCCCTTCAGTTTTCATTTATCTTTTGTTGGATATATTTACTCACTATTTCTATATACCTAGTAGAAAACTAAAAACATTGTCATATTTATTCATATCTTCTAAGTTTATTTTATTGTAATAAATCGATTTATAAAAAAGAAGCTAAATTTGAATGCAATAGAAAAAAAGGTTTCATTTGAACATAGATATCGCAAGCAATATTGAGCGGATTTCAATAAGGCGTTGAAACAATACAAAAAAAAACCGGTGTCATAAGATTCTTTTATAAATTGATTGAATACAATGCAAAGTTTGTATCTGTCACTGGTTAATCAATACTGAAAGAGATCTAATTCATAGTTCCATCAGTATCGATACTGGAACAATAGGTAATAGCATAATTCAAACGTTCATACATGATTTCTTTAGTTGAATACGGAGGTAGATCAAGAGTAAAATAGCATGTATGCGATTCTAGAACAAAAAAATCAAATAATTAGATTTATGTCTAAAGTAAAATTGAAAAGAAAACAGGTGTGTTATATTGGATTATGACATTGAATCTCAACACGATTATATTTCTTTTTTTTTTATTACTGATAACAAAGATCAGATGTTGTCTAGAGAACTCAGTAATGGAAATTTATCTCAATAATTTTGACATTTCTTTTCTTCTAGATGATATAATATAAGATTTCAAATTCATTTACTTGGAAGAGTTTCATCGACATTACCACTGGAATCTAGACGAGTAATTGTAAAATTTGTGGAAAATTCTTCGTCTCTATTCGGTAATGTACTTCGTCCCCAAACAAATATTAAAAATAATTTTTTCTGTTCTTCACTAAACATTTGACTTAAAACAGTCCAAAATCGTTCAATATATGGTGATGATTCACTATCATCATGATAATCTGTATGACGTTTCAACATTTCAATATCAATATAACCTTTACCACAAACAGCTTCTTCTAATTCTTGAGCTGTAAAAAGACTCAAATAAGCTGATGGTACGATATTATATAAACCTTGACGAATAAATTCAATTTGTCGATGAAATTCATTAATACGATATTGACGATAACGTATACAATAATCTTCAAAATTAGTAGCAGTTATAGGAATATGAAAACCACCAGGAATAAGTTCATAAGTTTGTCCAGCTGAACTAATAACATCAAATGTAAGTTCACTCATAATACTACTGAATAAATAATCACAATCATTGTTAGCATCACTTTCTTCATATTTATTAAGAATTTTTACTTGTTTAATATTTTCTTCCATCTCATTGATAATAGTAAAACTTTGTATATCAATTGCTTCAATATCTTCGATTGTAATTATTTCTTGTACTAACTGTTTCCATAGTAAAATTGGAAATCGAATATCTAAAAGATTTTTCGTACGTATAGCCATACCCATTAATTGTCCAACAAAACGATATTGATTCTTATATTCATCTGGTATAGGTCGATTTGGTGGAAAAACATTTGGAATCCATCGATCACGATTTGAACCACTATTCGTTCGTCCATTAGGACAAAGAATAAATAATGATAAACGTGTACTACATAAATCAGCACAAATACGTGTAATTGAATCTCGATAAGGTCCACCTCGATCGGTACTAAACATGCCAATAAAAGTAGCTGACCAAGCTTGTTCATCTTTCGTTCGTCGAAATGTTCGAGATGCATTAGGATACAATTGTTTATATGCTTGATAGAACATTGTATCTTCAGGATGTTCACCAAGACTTGCTTTTACAGTATCAAATTTTACATCTTCTTCAGATGATCCTGAACTATTTGCTGTTTTATTTAATGCATCATGAAACAAGTGATATTTTGTTGTAAATAATATATAATTTCGTGCTGCTCGAATTCTATCCGTAAGAGTACTAGTGCCTGGTGATAAAGTTAAATCAATCATTTGTAAGAGTTTACTAATAAATATATTAAATAAATAGAAAAGTTTAGCACGTGTTTGTATATATATTGATGGTATATCACATAAGCATGTAAATGATTCATATTTACTCATATCCGGAACAGATGCGGCTGGTAGAGTTTCAATGAATTGATTAAGTGATTCATGTGGTAATGGATTCCAATCGAGATTAATATTTGAATTCATAAATTTCATTAATTGTTCATCAGCAATCTTATCGAAATGAACATGAGCTTGATCAACTATCTCTTTGGTCAATGAAGATTTTTCGCCTAAAACAATATCCAATGGTTTAAGAAGTAGTTCGGACCATTGAGATTGATTTGTTTTATTTGTTAAAACATTGATAACATCGAGAATTATTGATAGATTGCGTGAATCTGATGGACATTCATTTAATGTTAAAATCAATTCTTTTTGTCTTTCAAATAAAGCAAATGCTAAATCCATGACAGCATTTCGAAAACTTTTCAATGCTAAATCATCCAAACATGTTTTATTCGTTATTAATTCAATAAAAAGTTGTAGAATGAAATGTTGAATATTGTTATGAAGTTTGAAATTCTCACTTCTTTGAATCAATCTATTTAAAAAAAAAGAAAACATAAAAATACGCACTCAACTAATTTTTTTTTTGTAGTCAATTTTCTCATTGTATTCACTGAATTTGTTCAATAGCTTTTAACAGAAATGAGATAGAGATATGTGGTTTTCACTCTTCGAAAGTGAAAAAGTATTTTCTATCAAAACAGAAGAAAATTGAATTGATTAGCTATTGACTGATCTTTTGAAAACAAAATTCTCAAGCCATTTTCCATTGAATTCTGACTTATAAAAGAACCATCGATGAAAATAAACTGTTCTCTTTCGAAGCTTTATGGCTTGTTTCATTCAATACCTATTGGCATTTTCCCAAGAAATCTGAAATTGGCCAAACAACCTACAACTAAGATAGCATGAGTCAAAACAGAAGTAATTGATCATGTTGAGAAAATTCTGGTATAGCAGCTTCGAAACTAAAAAACGGTTACTACTTATCTTGGTATGGTCGATTACTGCTGCTTTGACAAACGATGACTTTATTGGAGATCGTTAGAATAATATCCGTATGTCTTAGGAAAACTTATCTGCTTCTCATCAAAAGTTATTCGAAAGCAAAATCAATCGAATGAACTTACGTGGTAAAAAGATGAAGAATAAATATTTTCGATCGATGTGATGGTACTAATAAAAATAGATCAAATAGCACCTTAATAAATAATGCTGGAAATAATAATTGAATTATCAGATCAATATCATATTTTTTCATTTCAACATCGATTAATAATTCTAAAAAGAGATTAACAATTTTTAGAAGAAAATCTAAATTTGTTTGTTTAATTAACATTTGTTCATCAATAGTTTCATCATCATAATTATTCATATAGATTAAAGATGGTTCAGCAAGAAAATGAATCGATTCTTCAATAAGATGTTTTTGTAATTGATAGAATAATGGAGCTTTTCTATTCAATATTTCTACTGTCATTTGTTCATGTATCATAAATTTCAATAATTCTTTTAATTCAACTTTTAATATTGACATTGTTAATAATTTCATTCTATTAATATTTTCATCGGCATGTGTACGTGTACATGTATGATGATAATCCATTAATCGTAATAATGTTACAATAAATGTTCCATCACCAAATTTCGAAAGTGGAAATAAACTTGGATGATCATCATTACACCAAACTTTTAACATATTCAATATTGTATAACGTGCATAGATTGTTATTAATCCATATTCACTATTTGTACGTAAATGAATATAAGTTTTATGTGGTATTTGTCGATGTAAATAATGTAATGAGTTTTTCATTTTCTTTTTTAATTCATATTCAATTGCTGTTTCTTCAGAATCTGGTTTTGTTAGATCAAGAAGTTTGAAGTGAGGATCTTCGATTGTTAATAGATGTGCTTCTGTTTTATCTCGAATCCAATCTGTTAATTTATCATGAATACCTACACCATGAATAGCTTTACGATACCATTCTTTTTCAGATATCATATCATCATCAGCATTTTCTGTTTCAGATAACATGTCATTAGATGATGTTGAAATTGACAAATCATTGATAGCATTGTCAATTTTCATTAATATTGCTAATGTTCCTTTATCGTCATAAGAATTCAATCGTGTTAATACATTGATTTTTTTCTGTTGTTGCTCTTGTTGTAGTGTCTTTTCTATTTCTTGACACTGTTCTCGTAGAATAGCATCGATGAACTGAATATTTGTCGTATTATATTGTTTCATTACGTATTTGATTGAGTCTTCTTTATAACCAATACCTATGAGACTTGTTGATAGAATTGAATACGTTGGAGCAACTAGATTATCTAAGGAATGTTCAGTTGATTTCATTAGGTTTGCCATTGATGGACGAAGAATGTCAATTGATTTATTCCAAAATGTTATTGATCGACATTCAATACGTAGTTGATCATCATCAATAGTATTCTTAGTCAGATCTATTTCTCGAAATAGATCAATACGTTTCAATTTCGTTGCAAATTGATTATCTGTAATTGATGCATTGAGTTCTAATGCACCATTCACATAAATATGAACATATTTCTCTTGAACGGAAATGATCAAACGAATGTATTCTTGTAATTTCACTATTGATGAACTTTGATGTTCTTCTGATAGACAAATATGACCATCATGTGTTATATAAATTTCTGATTGTGTATCCAACGTTAATAATGTTAATCGAGTTTCACTATTCGATGTAACTGATGGATCATTAGTTAATGGAAAATTGGGTATAGAAATATCAAGAATTAATGTATATTCGGACCATACTTGATTTGCAGTATTTAGAACTAGATAAGTTTTATTTCCGTACAATTGTATGACTGATCGATTAGTGCCTGATATTCCTTTGAAATAGGTCGATTCATCGTAATCAATACATTGTTTTCTTTTCTTCCATAGATTTTCTTCAAATGGTTCTTTGAATGGCACTAATGTTTCATTTGTAAAATATTTTTGTTCTACGGTAAATGTCAATGAATTTGTTTGTTTTTGATATTCATTGATTTTTTGATAATCAGCGGCAACATACAATAGTCCATAGGTGAAGAGACGTCGAATATGTTCTTCGGACAGTGCATATTTCCATGTGCCCAAATTTCGAATTCCAACATTTAGATATGGCAAAAGTTGTAGATTTAATTTTGGTTTTGTTGTTCGATCAAAACTATGACAATAGTTTAATATTTGATATTTATTGTTGATATAGACTTTTGTTCGTTCATTTGTTTGAAATAGAATAGCTACACGTTGACGATATTTCATTGTTTCATCAATAAAATCATCATTCATATCATTCATACAGATTCGAATAGAAAATGTCTCGTTCTCTATGGCGAATAATACAATATCGAGTTCATCAGGATGATTTTGTATTTCATCTGTTGAAATAATTTCAAAATCAAAACTAATAGTCAATGATTGATAATTATCAATTGATAATAGAAAACCATCACTTTTTTCTGATATCTTCAATAGATGTTGATCAGTTACTATCGTATCAATATTGAATGGAACTTTGAAATGATGATCATTGACAAAATCACGTATTAAAGAGATTTTCTTGTCAACTGAATCATCCTTTGAACATCGACTCGTATAGAAATATTGATGAATATCATTACCAATAAGATAAGCACTAAACGGATAAGCTACAAGTACATTTTCCATTGTGAGTAATTTTGGCATTAATAATGGCTTGTAACCTGTCGGTAAAGGACATTGAGTCATATCTTCTGGACTAAATATAAATTCAAAAGCACCTGTATTAGCCACACTACTATAGACTTGTACAGTAACACCAGGAAAATAAGTAGTACTAAGTCCATTGGGTAATAAATTTGTTTTGATAATTGATTCAATATTATTATTTTCTGAGTGTGAAAATGCTGTACCTAAAAATTGACCATTTAACCAATATTTGATAGTTGTATTTTCCTTATTGATTTCAATACCACAACCACATACATCATCGGCTTTCCAGCGAATTTCATCACAAAAATTAGTTCCTTGATTATGATAACAAATTCCTCGTGATCCATCATAACCCCATGAAAATGTATCATCACCAATACCTTTTGAATTTTCTGGAACAGGAGTAAATCCATTTGTTGCCCAACCAATTTGTGTTGCACCACCTAATATAATTTTAACGCAAAAATACCATTTTCCTTCACTTACTTGTATACCATCAACAATAAAAGTCGGATATCGAATATTTCCATTATCATCGGTTATATTAACTCGTCCTTTAAATTTATGCTTATCTCCACATTCTTCTAATGCTGGCAAACTATCATTAGCAGGTAAAGAAACAATACGAATTTCATCATTTCCAATTCTACCCCGTTTATAAGAGTCTATTTCATTTTTAAATGCAATCGGTTTCCATCCTTCGTTTATCAAACTCATTGTAGAAAGATTTTGTACAATAATAGGATCACGATTGATTATTATTTGATTCCATACGTTTATATTACGAACAATATCAGATTTATCTTCTACTATTTGTTTTGTTCTTTCACATTTATCTAAACTTAAATTATATTGTTCTAAATGTAGTCGATTAAACAAACGTAAATCATCCGATTTTGTATTATGAATTGAATCATTATTGTCAACTGATATTGATAGTTTAGCAATAACAGATGCATAAGATTTTTGCATGAAAATCTCGACACATGTTTTATTATTTAGTAATGGATAGAATGCCGTTATAGCACGACGTTTTATTTGTAATAACATCAATGACTCAGTTTTTGATGTATCAATTTGTGCAAGATATCCCAATGTATCAAGAATAGTATGAACAGCATTATCTATTGGTAGAAGTGAGAGATTAGGTGGTAAAACATCAGTAATAGTATGCAATTGATTCGACAAAACCCATTCCGTATGATTTGTTGCAGCATATTGTACGAAATAAGGTGTAACATCAGATGAATCAGATTCAAGAGCGCTTTTATTGATTTCAATGATAGTTGCTGATTCAAATTCATTGATACTTCTATCAGCTGCATAGATTTCTACAGTTGATCCCAAACAATATGGTCGTACATAACCACCTAAGATACATAATGATGCAAGAAAGAAATTCATTTGTCGTAATTCAACAGATTCTAGAGATGTCATATTGAAATTTATACTTGATTTAATTGCATCGATAATTAGTTTCGTAGCCATTTTTTGCCATGGTGAATTTCGTGACATTAATGTACGATAGATATAAATAAATTCAATGATTATATCAAGATCTATTTTGTTAGTTTCAAATAAATTAAAATTTTGACCAATAGAAAATAAAATATCTGTTAATAACTTCTCAACAAAACATCGACATGTTGTTTCGTTCATATTCTCTGGTAAGAATACTAAAAGATCACGTAGAATTTTCAATGTTAGTAGACGAGTATCAAGATATTGACTCTGATGATATAAATTTAATAATTGTTGGATATAATCCATAGTAGCACAATTCGATCGAACATGATCATACAAATGAATACATCGAAGTAGAAGCATTAAATATTGATTAATACAAACATCGTTATTGGATGTCGATGATGATTCTATTGATGGTTCTTTTATTATAAAGTAACCGATGGAAGCATTTTTTAATGATGGATTTTCACATTCTCGAACGGATTTTGTTATTAATTGGTTTTGTTGTAATTGTTTGAGTTCACTTAAAATTAACTGGTTAAATATGAAATCACGCTGTTGTTGTAAGATATGATGAAATTTTCGACTACCAAAATGTGTATTTCTCAATTCTTCCAGTTCAATATTTTCACATAATCTCAATACAATTAGACGAAACCAGTTGTATGCCGTGAGTTTCATATCCGTTGAAATGATAGTAATCGAATCCATTTTAGCGAAGGTAACAAATGAATTAAATAATTGTGGAATAAATTGAAAATGATTTAAATGACACAAATCCATTGAATCATAGGATAGATTTATTAAATTAAACAAACAAAATTTGATTACTATTTTCATATTTGATTCAAATATTGATTCATTTGATAATGATAAAATTTTATTGATAATTGAATAATAACGATATCCAATATCTTCTTTCAATTGATTATTGGATGCTTGTATATTTTCAAGATAATGCCAATCGATATTATTATCTTTTAAATTTGTTAAATTCATAATAAGAATATTTATAATTCGATTATTATCTTTGATATTAAGTAATTGTTCAATAAATTGATAAATAAATCTATATGTAATTAATCTAGTCATAGCACGTTGATATTGTCGAATCAAACATTTTACAACTTCATTAGATTCAATTTTAAATTCATTATTAATCATAGATGTTGATATATCATTTCCATATAAACAACTAACAATAGCACGATGCATAACACTTTCACTATCTTTCTTTTGTTCAATAGCTTGTTTTTTTGTTAACATTATATATTTTAATCGTATACATGCATTTAATGCATTACGAAGTAATCGAATAATATATTTTGCTTTTGTCCAACGTGATATTTGTCGTTGTACTTTAAATTTATTAGTAGTAGTAATTATTGGTAATGAAAAATCTTCTTTAATTGTTGAAATAAATGAACTTTCTTTAATTGATACAAGTAATAATAATGTATCCTTCTTAATTTGTTTAAAAAGTTCATTACAATCACCACCACGAGCTTTAGTCGTAGCAAAAATCGTTCGTACTTGATTAGCATATTCATAGAGTGAAAGAAGTTTATTATGTGGTTTTTGATCGATTGATTGAGTTAATTCATGTTGAGCTAGATCAATACGACGATAATGTTTAATATAAACAGCAAATATAGCAGCACATGCATCATTAGCAAAAATTTCAATTGATTTTTGTAAGATACGTTGTTTATCTCGAATAAATAATTTCATTTTTGAAATTAATTGTGAACCTTGACCATTATTATTATAAATTGAAAGTAAAAATTCACTATCTAATATTGATTGTTGTCGTCGATAAGGTATTACAAAATGACTGTAAGTACTTAAATTAGATTTGAATAAATTTGATAAATACGAATTATTCTCTATTGTCATTGTTTCATATCCACCAGCAAATAATGGTAACTTTAATGTAGTAGTATATTTTTTCTCTAAAGGACTTTGTTGTGGACCAACAATAAGACGATGACTCATCTTTCCAAATAGCCATGGAATTAAATAAGTAGTTATAATGTTTACATCGATGGTTGTTTGTGTTAGATATTCAGCAAATATAGGTAGAATAGTAGCAAAAATTGGTTGTATGATAGCAAAATTAAATATTGATTCTGTAAGAGTACATAAACCAAAGAGAAGTGGTTCTAATAGGATGCTTTTTATATCTTGTTTAATACAATATTTAATCACATGTGTTGTATATTCGATAGCAAGGATCGATAAAGAAGATGATTCAAGTTCATCTGATATATCAATAGGTTGATTATTCAAGTGAACCAAAAGTAATTCTTGAAACATAAGTATAATTTTACATACTTGATTGACTTTTTCAACATCTAATGAACTTGGTTTTAAGACAATATCAAGAAATGAATGTAAAATTGTATAAGCTATTGTTTTATCTTCAGCATGATGATCATTACATAAAACTTCAATCCATTGATGTATAAATACATTTTTAGATAACTTATCAAATAATTGTTCAATCAATATTGGATGTTTATTTTCCATGATATGTGTATGAATGAATGATAATGTTCTGGCAAATGATGATGTTTGTTTGTCAATCAAATAGATCAAAGCTTTTGATGCTTCTTTCTTTCTTTCTTCTGATTTATCCTCTAGAACTAATTTTAATATCAATGTAAACCATTTTTCAATATCATTTTCATTTAAAAAATCATGAAAATTTTCAATATTTGAAGCCATCAAAAACTTTAAATGTGTTGTAAATAGTCGTAGACAAACAGTTACGATATATTCGAGATGATGATTCGATGATGATTGAATGAAAATCAATTGTTCGATTATTTCATATAAATATTTGAATGTTTCTGGTTCAAATTCGAATGAAAACGAACCATCTATAGAATTACGTTCATATTGTGATTTCGAATAAAGTTGATTATGTAAATCAATATGAACAAGTAATATTGAAGATATGAATTGACCAGTGAATTTCTTCTCATTTAATGATATTAATTGCATGCTTGGAAATACTTCCATTGATTTGAGATATTCCAATGCTATCGAAAATGTGCGTTCCATATCGGATGATTGGTCAGTGGATAGTGTTGCTTCTACAATAAATCGAATTCAGAACAACTAAATAAAAATTGTTTGGTACCTATCCAATGAGCAATGCATTCAAACTTTGCTACTATCAGTCCTCGATACGTCACTAACGGCTATTTGTAGTTTATGAACTTTTTTGAATATCTCAACTGTTGATAATTATACGTGAATTTTGTTTTACCTGTCTTGTCCTGTTCTTGAGATACCTCATTGCTATTTTCTGCAGCATTTTGGGGTATAATTGTTGTTGTTTCAGCTGATGTCTGTTTTTCTTTTTCGAATTGATCTATTATTGTTGTTAAATCTTTATTTAATATTACGAATAATTTTCGTATGTCATAAATATCAGTTGTATTGAAAATTAATTTTCTAATTAATGGTAGAACATCTTTCAATGATCCTTTGATAACTGAAAAATTTAATAAGATTTTAATCGATTGATTTGCTGCAATAGGATCAATTTCCGTTTGTATCGATAAATCGTTGATATAATTGGTCAATGGTTTTAAAGATTTAAACAAATTACTTGATCTTTTGTAAACATCTGATGAAAGATAATGCAATGGAATTTGTTCAACAAGTTGATTTGTCAAGCTAAGCATTTGATGAACAATAGTGGAATCATATTTTTGTACTGACTTGAGTAATATCAATAGCATGGATATTAACGATTGAACACCAAAAAACGAGAGTTGTTCAGCTTGAAATTGATGTAACCGTATTTGTTTAACTGAATTGTTGTTTATTTGATTTTCATTTGATACTTTCTCCGAACTCGAAGAATCGATAAATGGTTGAGAAAATATAGAAGTAGTTGCATTTTTATCGTCCTTCAATTTTTCAACATAGGAATTTTTCAATTGTTGTTGTTTGTCAATGATCGATTGCATAGCATTTTGTAGATTTGTATTTGTTATTGTAATATGATCGAATACTTGTTGAATTATTCCTGCTATTTCTGTATTCAATTCATCTAGTCCAGATAATTTCGTTAGTAAAGATAGATCAGTTCGAATATGTTTGATCAATGTTTGTTTCGTAATTGGTAGTTCAATTGAACTTTTTTGATCAGAGTCATGATCATAAGATGAGATTGAACTTTTACTGATTGCATTGATAATATCCAATGGTAAAAATAAATGAACATCTTCTATTCGACCATTGGATAATATTTTATCGGAATGTTGATTATTTGTTGCAAGTAAATCAGGAATTTTGATATTAGTCAAAGAAAGCTGTTGACCCATGTTTAGATAAATGATGATTAATTGATCAAATATGTCAATAAAATATTTTCAATGTTTCTAACAACAGTTCTAAAACATAGAAAAGTAAGCATTGTATCAAATTTAGGAAGAAAAATCTTGTCCTCGCCTTACATGCGAATCCCAGCTTACAAGAGAACTACTCGACGTAATGACTCGCAAGCATAGAAATCATAACCTGATAACGATATGAATATATCGCTTAATATATGAGCTTAACTGAGTGAATAATTAGGGATATGCACAGCTTTTTCGGGGTTTTTTGGAAAACGGCTAATCAGAAAAATTTGAAATTTTCAGAGCAGATAGATCCTTTTAGCAGCTTTCACTAATACGATTTTTTAACGTTTAAAGACAATTTCAGGGTCCTAAAGTGTACTCAATAGAAAGATATTACTTAAGACGATACCATTTACATAGAAGAAGTTTTTCCCTCGTCAGAGTGTATGAAATAAGTCAATTATGCTTGCTTTAAAGGTTAAATTTACATTATTTAGAATCAAGTAGAACACAGAGTTCCGAACTGAATTATTCTATACTTAAAACATACTTTTGAGAAGAAAAAAAAATAATAAGCAAAGTTATGTTTTTTTTCTACAAATCAACTCAAGCGACGCCTTACTTTTTTTCTCGTTAATATGCACAACGAAATCAATATTATTCTGATGTACAGGTGAAGTATATTTTTTTCGGTTGACAGAACTGGAAGAAAAAACGAAAGAAAATAGCTCATAATTCGTGCACTCATTTTAACCAGTCAATTACAAAGACACGTGGCTTATGAAACTATTTGCAATCCAAGATAATCATCATTTAGTCGAAGAAAACGTTCTATAATCTTTATTTAGCTTGCTTCGAAAAAAATGAAGAAAATGAACACTCTAAGTATCAGATGTCCTTATTAACGAAAAGAATCAAATATAAGTGGCCTATAAGATATTGAATTCTCTATTTTTCTTTTACCAATAATTGAAAAAAAATAACATAGAATCAAATAGAAACGAATTCAAATCTGAGATAATCAGCAAAATAATCGAGATAATCTTGAATTTTATAAATATTTTATTTTTATTATTATTGTTTGATCCCTTTTATTTTGAATACTATACGTCGTTCTTTATCAGATTCAGTAAAAGACATACGATAGTGTAAAAATAAATTATATCAAATAAAAGATATACATTGTCAAGCAACTATTCCAAATAATTACTGAGCAACTAATTTCTACAGTTATGTCATTTTCTTCTGAACAATGCAACTGAATCAGATTTTTTTTTTCGACACAAATGTCAACATGTTGGCATGTAGGGGCACTAATGCCTAGTAATTGCATTTCTCAAGCGTTCATTCACAATATTGATAACGTACGAACTACTTGTATTTTATATTCAATAAGATTTCATTATTGATTTACGATATTTTTTTCTTGCAAAAAAGAATCTAAGCAGATTATTCGTTCAATGTCTTTGCATGGTAAATGACTATTAAGCAAACTTTACGAACGAACTATTAGAATAAATAAATATTTGCTGCTTTATTTATCTTCTGTCTCAAATACATTACGATTGAATGATAACGTAAATTAGCAGAAGAGATAGACAGAACCAAAAGACCTCAATTCATAATAGCAATCAAAACTGGAGATGTTTATTTAGATTCATAATGATAGATACATACTTTTCTTCTTTTCTATGCTGTGACTCACTTACATAAGTTTTCACAAGGGTTAAAAACGCCTGTAAATATACAGAAAGAGAAAAAAGGTCGCTTTGTGCTTACAATAGTGATTCTCAAATATGAATGAAAAACGACTGTGTTTTTTTTTCTTTTTTTGTGTGTTTTTAGGCGTGAACGACAGTCTGTAACTAAATGGACACTTAGTGACAAGTAGAGCAAATGAGAGAGTTCTTCATGCAGGTTCATCCTTCGTCTACAGCCAGTTTCATCGAGAAATTTCTCTAAGTCGAGCAGTGAAAAAAATGTGAACATCACATTCAAGAAATATTTCTCTTTGTAATACAGTGTTGTGTCAATATGACACAGTGATCATTTAGATGAGTATGATATTCATCAAACCTTGAAAAGTGTGTCTTACATTAGAAAATCTAAAATTACATAGAGACGAAACTGCAACAAACCTTGCTTTTTTTAATAATATAAAACACATGTGATAGATATTATTATTATTCTGACCAGCTCAATTTAATAGAAAACGAGATGTATATAATGACGTTCTTATATGTAATTAAGAAATGATAGAAGATTTGTTTTTTCTTTGTATCGTTTCTTGATTGTTCTTCTGTTGTTTCTACGACACATTAGTAAGTAAGGTCGAAGAAAAATTATTCTTTTTTCTGTTCTTGTTTGCTTGTGTCTTTGATGTGTGTATTGGATGACTTCAAACAACCAGTACCATTAACTAGATGAGAAAAAGAAAATAGTGGGCGCTGTAGATGCTCAAAATGTTCTTTAGTTTTATATTTTCTATGGAAATGAACCTTAGAGATAATTGAGAATAAGTATCATTGATTTTGTCGTTGTTTTTTTTAGAGTAAATTGATAGAACGTAGTCCCAGAATCGCTTTACCAGTGTTCGGCATATCGCTACGCTTTGATAGGATTCTAACAAGTGTTTCGTCACTCATTCTATTGTCTATTTTCATTTGTCGCATCGCGGAGATATTCCCGTCGTAGAGGATTGTCAGTTGTTCAGGATGTTTATTGAAATACTTGACATTAGATCAGACACATCGAAAATGATATGATTTTACATCAAAAAATGTTTTTTCTGATCAATCGAATTGTCTAAATCAAAAATGAGACAGCAAAAATTGAAAAACAATGAATTTTATATCGGGCATATTATCCACTGAAATAACTATGTTCTTAGAGAAAATATTTCTTCAGCAGAAACAACTTTTAAAACAATACAGTAGTTGAAAAACTTTCGAGCCGATTTAATCCGTTGGAAAGGTTTTAGTACTATGCTATTGTTCTGTGCTAACCGTAGAGTGTGAAATGTGGGTGATTGTGCAGGCAAGAGTTCTATCCTCACATTTTCACTCACATCCAAATGCACAATTTTGTTATCATTTGACTCAGCTCTTCAAGTTCTACAATTATCTATGTATTTAGTCATTTCAATAAACATTTTCAAGTTCAGTCATGTTGTCATACTATACAACAATTTCAAAAATGATATAATAGCTAGGCGATTTTTTTTTGGGCTTCAAGTAAGATGTATTCTCGAATTTGCAATCATTCTTTGATTTCAAAGATGATTCTGCGTTGAATAGCCTTCGTAATCTATCACATTTAATTCGATCGATTATATATCAGGGTTTAAATTATCATGATTGTATCTGTACCAGTCGAATGCAACTGTCTAAACGTGTCTCATTTAATTCTTCTATCAATCAACTGTGTCGATCAGACGTTGAAACATATACATATGATCAATGAGATCTTGTAAATTTTCTCGTTTTGTCAATTCGATAAGGGCAACTTCTCAACATATAAACATATTTAATCCCTAGTTGAATGTTTCACAATAAGCAAATCGGACGACTTGACGCATACAAATATCTAATCTATAGTGTCATCTGCGAACTAAGCATCATTTATTTTCGTATATAAATAAAACAGACTTTTCACACATAAAGTATCAATTCATATTTCTGCATTTTGTTTTGACTGAATAGTTTCCTTCACATTTTCTCCGCGACGAATGCGATAGAGTCGACCGCTGAAGCAAGGTAACCAAAATACGAATTTTAGTAATAAAGTCAGAAGCGGAAAGTATAAACAGAGTAAACCAAGATTATAGAATGCCATATGTACTCCCACTGCTATCCAACGGGGCAAAGCCATTGCAACGACATGTCCAATAGCAAGTAACATTGTGACAATACCAAGTTTTGATTGTATAAAACGCCATTCTCGCCAATTCAACAGATTACCTATTGCAGGAATACTTGCAATAGCTAGAATGGACATGCACAGTTGAGTTAAAATACCTAGCAGTGATGCCAATTCGCCTTTTGCAGTCATCAGACCACTCTCTACGACGAATCGTGTCTGATTGTGAACAGTCGAAATCATGATTTCAACAGGATGAAACCATGTTGCATAATAAGCTGGTGTCATAAGGATGAGTGTCATAATAGTATGAGCAAGAGCTAGAGCAAATGTCAATATACCGAGTTGTTTTCGTGTTAATAGCCATCGGTCTAGCCACATTGGAAATCGTTGTTCACGAGTTCCATAGGCTAATTGAAATATACATGCGAGGTTCGAAGGCATGTAGACAATGGCTAACATAGTGATGGCACTTACACATAAAGTTTTATTAGCTATATTTAAAAAAAGTTGATTCCATGAAGTCGTTTGTGTACTAACAAATTCCATACAGAGTGTATAAAGAAGCCAGATGGATAAAATGATAAGTGTGACAATGATTGGTATATGCCATTCAGGAAATAGAGATCGAGTATCATTTTCTAGATGACGTGCTGCTCGAAGGGAACCAACATCAAACGAACTGAAATTCATTTCGTGTGCGAGTGTTATTACTTTATCTTTGGCTGTTACGTGATCGCTTGCAACAAAAACATTGCGTGATTCACCTGCTGTTCTACTTTGCATCGCAAACGACGAAATATTATTAAATGCTTTGACAACAAAAGCATTGGGTATTGCTGTCTGAAGTCGTTCTGCATTGGAGGAATCATTCAGATGCAATTTTTTGCCAGTTTGATTCGATAGATCAATTAGAATTTTACCATTAAATAATAATGGCTCGTGTTCAAGATGTGATGCAAGAGATTCAATATAATGTTCCGGATGAATGGCAACGAAGATAATAGGCGAACGACGAATACATTCAACAATGGAAACTACTTCAAATTGTGTGCCAGTTCGCTTGTCTGGACAACGACTGCCCATTACTACAGTAAAGCCACATAAAAATAAACGATCGGCAA